GAGAGAGATGGTCCCACAGAGGCAACAGGCCATGCAATGGTCTGGGTTATTGAGCACCACCAGCGGAAGGTGGACTCTGAGCCCAAGCTCACCGCGGACACATGCCTGTGTGTCTGAGAGCTGTACTCACAGAACGCCAACGTGCAAAGTTCGTCTATTTTTAATATAGCACCATCCCTTTTGGTCACTGCAGCAGACAATGTGGGCCCTTCAGGGGTCTAGGAGGTAACTGGACTTGCTCTGCCAGGTAAAGGCTGTGTACTTGCTGCATGGACATGGACCTGCTGAAGAAGCTGTAGAACCCCTCCATGACTGGGTCGGGATTGCTGAGGTTAATTAACTTCATTTGTTCTTTCTCTGTTTTCAGACCCGTATCTTGAAGGATGAAATATATTGCCTCATTCTCTACCAACAGGAGATCGTAGCCTCTTACCTATTCCTCTTGACTATACCCTGCTCTTGCTGTATCCCTAACTTCCAACTTACTCTGCCATACAAGACTGCAGTAATCATAAATGAGCATCTCAAATGGACCTTAATTTAGGCTCCATGCACCTCCTATTTTCCTGCTCAGATCTGTACTGAAATTCCCCCTTCAGCAGTGAGAAAATCGCTACTGATGCTCTGAGGTAGTAGAACAAAGTGCTGTCCCTGGATCAGGAGCATGTCCTCCTCTCATTGCCAATCTGGAAAAAGCTCACCAAAACTGGGTGGAAAATGGATGGGCTCAATTCTTTCTTTCCCATCTTTGGCACATGGAACTTGGAGGGCAAATGTGCTTGCAAGTGCCCAGACGTACCAGGATAGTTGTCTGCCACCTTCATGCTTCGTAAAGTTGGTCAACATACAGCAGAATGTACGGTAGTGAAAGGAATGCTTTAATCTTTGCTTATTTTGGCTCTGGTGGCCCAAGAGGAGAAGATATTATATACATTGTGGTATTTCTCTGACACCTTCTGAATCTTTCTTTATGTCAAAGGTTGGCAGCAGGACTGGCCGTAGACTGAATCCTTTGCTCTCAAGGGCTTCTCTCCTTTTGGGAAAGGGACCAATCACTTCAATTTCCCTTCACCATGACAAAATTGTCTAGACTGGTCTTTCAAGAACTGCAAATCAGACCAGGTTCCTTGCTATTATCTCTCATCAACTAAATGTTTTTTTTTCTAAGCAAACAAGCCAAAAATTCCCATGAAGAGAAGACCACATCTGTAACAACTACTTGGAGGGACAGGGCCTGAATGAATACTGCAGAGCTGTGCCGTCTCCTTAAGACATGCTTGAGGGCTCTGAGCACTATCAGCACATGAACACAGGTCTTACACTCACGCAACAAGTAAACTCTATGGCCGTTTAGTCAGTGCCTCATTTTTTAAAACAATTATTTGTCACTGTTCAATCAAAGAGGAGCACAGCCATGCGCACTGCTCGGTGGCTAGATGCTCCCTAACAGCAGGCTTGGCAGATACTGCAACTCAGCATCCTCAAAGCTGATTAAAACCCAGCACTAGGAAGCCACTGTCCATGGGCTACGTCAACCAGAAATGCAGACGAGCCTGCGCTTGTTAAAACAAATGTTAAGCACCGAGTGAATCCCCCAAAGGCAAAACCAGGAGTGTCTGGGCTTATCAGAAAGCAAAGTGCTCTAAATAATTCCTGTTCCTCCCTGATTCTCCCAGGAGGGAGCATCTGCCACACAGTACCATGTCAGCAGGACAAGCTCGACTGAGCAAACTTCTGCTCACCATCAGCGTGCTATATGGGCAGTTTGTAGCTTTAAATATAGGGGTGGGGGGAGACCTGTACAATGGTCTTAAAAAAAGACATATAGATGACATGCATATAAATGCAGTGATTCTTACAGATTTTCAATTCACTTCTTAAATTGATTGGTTTTGCTCTTAAAACATGTATTTTCACTGTTAGAAAGCAACCACAGAATCCTGAAGGTCCCAATAGCACAACAGCTGCTCCCGGCATCCGCGGTGAGGTAGCTCGCACCTCTTGCTCGTACCTCTACCTAAAGAGGACTGAATTATCTTCACTGCTTACATCCCCCTCAGCACAGCAGGCTGCTTGGCTTCAGCGTCTCTGTTCTACCTGTTTTCTGCCTGCACTACACCTCTGGCACTCGACATTTCTCTCCAGCTTTCTATTACCAGCCTCCTTTGCCCTGCAAAAGTTTCATTATTATTTCATTCACATCCTTTGCGTTGCTTTCCACAGCCACCTGGCAAATGCAAAACCGGAATGAAACCACTCGGCGTCTCATAAGAAATCCTAGTTTTTATAAAATGACGTTACAAATATTGTCAATACTATGGACTTCAACAATTCCACAGAAAATCCAGCAAGTGCAAACCTGCCATCAACTAAAAATTCCCAAAATGCTGCCTGGATTCTGTCTCAACTGAAGCAGCAGCATACAGGTTGGGTACAGAGGAAGCGATGCTTGAGCTCTGATTTAGCATTCTTAATACGAAGGCAATTTACTGATCAGATAAAGGTAACGGTGTTAATCGAATCACAGGCAGATACCGACACACGGAGCCGCTACGCGGGCCCCTGGCAGTGGTTTGCGATGCGCTGGGAGATTAAAACACAGATTAAGAGCCGTCATTTTTTACGGGAGCAGCATGCTGGGCTGCTCTCGCGCAGACCCTCCCGCCCTGTCGCCCCGGTGAACCTTGCACAGCCCTGAGCTGTGTTTTCCACCGCTCCCAAAGGACGCTCATCCCCACTATTACTGTTAAATAAAAACAAGAGCAAAACCCAGAAAAAAATACATTGCTAAGTCAAATAAATTATCTAAACGCAAACAGTTCAGAGGGGAACTTGGCGGTAGCCAGTACCGGTAGGTGTCAAAAAAAAAAAAAAAAAAAAAAAAAGGAAGTTTAGTTATCACCCTTGTTTCAGGGCGAATTACTGTGATGATGGACGAGTGTTTCTGGACAGCTCGCCGGGTTCTAAATCACCTGAGTTTTAAATGTGGCTCCAGATGGACGAAAGGAAAATATTTTGGATAGCCTGACAGAGAGTTGTTGTCAAGGAAATCAGAGTAAAGTAACTCTCGATAATTATATAAATAGATAATTAAAAGTAAATTAAAATGAAATGGAAAAAAAAAAGCTAAAACCCCATTAATTTCATTATATATTCTTTTACTTCAGCAAATTCTTTTTTTTAATTTAATAATTCCTCTCGGGTACTGGGAATAATGGAACTGATTTGTGCTCAATGATGCAAACAGTTGCATAAACATGTATTAAAAGTCACCGATTTTCATTTCAAAGTCATTAGGTGCAGGCAGAGAAAAACTCTGAGTGTAGGAGAGCCAGTACCCCCAGGTATCAAAGCTGTTCCCTGGACGTGTCCCAGTCAACTCCACAACTAGCACAGAAGTTACACAAGCAAAACCCCATCCACTCAGCACAAATAACATGCTCAAATCGTGTACTTATTTTGCAGCTTGCAAAGCTCATCTCAGTAGGAGATCTGTGGGATAGCAAAATACTTTCTGCACTCGCCTTTCCAAACATGTGTGTCTTCAGGAATCTCTTTTAATCCCCAATCTGTTTCTCCCTGCACAAACTATTATTTCAGGCATTGAATAACCAAACGTGTACTTTCTAAATCAATCAATTGTGGTATTATTTAAAGAAAAGCAAGCTCAGCGGGAGAGCATAAAACAAGACCGAAACAGCATCAGGCCGATTCTCCCAAGTAAGCAGCAAAACGTCTGCATTCGATCACAGCAGGTCCAGGCTGGGAGCAGGAGCTGGGGGCCTGTGCCCACGAGCCAGGGTGGTGGGAGCCCTGCGGCGCCGACCGGGCACGGCACGGCACAACTCGGCACAGCGTGGCACAGCACGGCACAGCCGCCTCTGCCAGCGCACACCTCAGCCAGACCAAGGCTGGCAGCCCAACTGGTAAGATACGGCTTGGAGGTGGACGTGGTGGCCACAGAGGTGTTCATAGCACGGAGCATTATTTTCAAACCGTGTATTTTTCCTTCAGAAAGCCTAGCAATGCCAAAGCCGAAGCTGTCGGTAGAGTCAATCTCTACTACACTTGTAGTGTTTGGCATGGACAGACTCTAAACAAGATTGGGAACAAGTCCTGTGGCACAAAAATTTTCTGCCTTTAAGAACACAAAATTGTGAGATTTTCTATGGACTTAGCTGTAGGAGGATCACTTTGCTCTGCGAAGAGGAGTAAGCAGAGGTGTTGCCATTTAACGAGAGTTTAAGCAACGCACAGAGTGGTTCTTTCACTTTAATTGACTATTAAAACTCAAGCTTTTTAGCAATAACCTTCAAAGACGACAGATGATATTTTTCTTGTTAAAGGGTAAATTAATGGGGATGACTATGTTAATTTAACAATTCCTCTGCAAGTGGGTTAGTCCCACACTTCCTTAACAGTGCCAATTCCCATTGAAAAGTTCACAGTAGATCAATGAAGGTGCAAGCATGATCGGCTTTAATGTGGTCAAGAAAGACGTCTTGGTTCTCAAAGTCCACATGTTTCCATAGGAAAGCTACAGCTATCCCTATATTTATCCGTTTACATGGAAGATCTAATAAGAGATATGTAGACGCACAGAGAAATAAAAAGTTTAATTTCACTGCACGTTTCTTTCATGTAATCTTTCTAGCATATCTTGAGCCACAGCCTCTACAAACTCTCTGACAAACAGCTCTTTAATCTCTGCGTTTCACACTGCAAATGTGCAAATTAGTTTTCAGGATCTGCAAGTGGCAGAGGAATATTTCTGCAAGATGGTAGCAAATCTTCCAGAAGGAGGAGAAACAACTCTGACGCATAGAAGATGAAAAGAGGGAGGAAAAAAGGAAGTAAAAGAAGCAAAGTAAAATAAGTTTTAAAATAAAATTTAATTTAATTTAATTTAATTTGAAAAAATAAAATAAAGGCCTGGCAGTCCTCACAGAGGTCATAAGACTCAAAAGGCACATCCTACATGAATGAATTTCTTTGCTCACCTGCCTAATCCCTAAGCGATAGGCAAGGATGCGGTCCACAGCGTCGGGGTTCATCTGTGTCCACTGCAGACTGTAGGAGTAGACGCGAGGTCTGTTCTGCCACAGAGGGTTGTAGGTGTCATAGTAGAACTCAGGAGCGTAGGCTTTGCCTGTAGGAGATGGGAACAAAAACGGGGAAGACAAAGAAGCCAGAGACTGATCAGGCAGCCAGCCAGTTTTGGAACCAAGTGTTGAGATCCAGCCTGCAACCACCCTCTCCCTCCGTGTTTTGAGTAATTTTGTTAAATATCTTCTTCCAGAAACACATCTTGGAATTACTTGCCTCCATCCACTTTTTTTAAAGGATTCATGGTAATGGTTTGCCTTTATCGTTTAACTCACTCCTCAGTGGTGTCCGTGACCCAGGTGTGGGCATGGGAGGGGAAAAATTAACTGATGTCCTAGCAAAGGCAAGCTGGAGTGATGTCTCATGCCCCTGCACGAATTTTTCATGGCCCAGATGACTAAAATAGAGATATCAAAACAATCTACACAACACTGAGCAGAGAAAGACTCAGTGACAGCTGCTGTACCTGGCACAAGTAATACAAAATTACATCTGTGAGCTGGAAATACAAGATGGGTATTTCCAGCAACGGCTGCCCTCATCGCGTCTTCTCCTCTCCAGCTTCCCAGGTGAAAATGCACACAAGCCGTCCTTTGTAACACCGCAGATGTGCACGCTACTACAGTACATTATTTAGCTGAACGTACTGCTTTGCACAACAGAGGGAAATGACATCTCACAGTGCATGTTGGGTACACGAGCGTTTCACCAGAATGTTATTATAGCCTACATCCTTCATAAATATGAAAAACATAAGGATGATTTCCTGAACACATGACAAAACATTGCTTGAATTCACTAAATCCGAGTTCTCTTTGACTTAAAACAATGAATACTAGTAACATCTTTACATGCAAGTTACCTTTGTGCCTCTAGAGCATCCCACAAGAAGTGATTTGTCTATAATAGCAAAAGTGACATAGTCCCCAGTCTGTTTGCTTGGCCATGGGCATGTAGTGGCATCTGAGATGCAGTAGGGTAGCTGAGCCATCTAGGCTGGGTGGAAGATATAGCACAAGAGCTGTAAGAGACCCAGGACCTGCTAGAGCCATAGCTGGAGCTACGTGCACCATCCTAGAGATGCCTGTACTACCAGGCAGCTCTGTACAGGCAAATGGGTTGAGCAGATGTGGTAGGGACAGCGGTGGCTGCAAAAATCTCTGAGGGAACTGCACTCCACTGGAATACACAATTCCAACATATCCCAAAATAATCTCGGTGGATTTGTTCAAAAGGAGAGTCAAACAACGTTAGAGCACACACCAGTACGTGCCAAAGAGCCATAGATCAGTTTTCTATTTTTCAGTCATTTTGCATTGATCTTTCTTTAGCATGACATACCAACAATGCAGCATTGCTTACGTTCCTTAAAGCAAAAAGGTTTGGATTGACTTGAAACAAGTTTTAACAGCTGGATTTGTAGGAATAGTTGTTAATCCCCAGTTTTCGCCCTGGATCTGTTTCAACAAGAACAAAACCTCAACTCAAAGACTGACTGTCTTTCATGGAACAGGTCCATCCTTGCCCTGCTGGGCTCTGTCTCCATCCTCTGGAGTTTCTATGCTTTAAGCATAATGGTATTTGGAATAGGATGGGGGCAAACACAAACCAGGCTCTACTGTGTTAAATGCTACATTTTGTCACTTGAATTATGCAAAAAGGAGACAAAACATGGGAAACCAAAACATTTGGAGATGCTATCCTGCTGTGAAGGTCTAAAAGACACTCATCATTAAAGAAAAACAGAAGCAGAACAAGGTCTTTCCCCCTGCAAAGCTTATACCTCTGTCCACCTCCTATTTCTGCAGGGATTTTGTCAGTGGGAGTAATTATGACATGCAATGAAAAACACAGGACAGCCTCATGGGAAGATGTGGTCTGCCTGCTCATGATGACCTATGAGAGGGGCATGGATTCATAACTCACCTCCTTTAATTCAGATATTATGTGATGAAATGCACACTGTATTTAGGTATTTTCTTCTCAAAACTATTCTTATCTACAGGTGTAAATAGAAATGGATGGGGAGGCGTTTTGACCTAGAAGTCTGAGAATTTCAATCATCAGAAAGGTAGTGAGAAGAGGGGAAAAGAGCATTAAAAAAAAAAATATTAAAAGGGACAAAGGAAAAATCACGTGAATATATACCAAACTTGTGGTTATTGATCAAGCTTTTATCTTTGAGTGTGTCATCCCCTCCAGCCTTGCTTTTCTTTTCAAAGGATGAAAAGCCCTTTTAGCCAAGATATTTTTGCCTGATTGCCCAATGAAGGTGCACATTCAATTAGACCGGACTAGAGCAGATCTGCTAGTGCTGAAGTAGCAAACAACAATACTCCGAGGAAAAGAAGCAAAGCAAAACTGCTGTTTTAAAAAGTGAAATGTAAGATAAATGAAAAGAGGATCAGTGGTCGATAAGATTTGTTTTCCTTATTTATGTGCAGTGGGAATAATGGAGAAAAGCTCATCCTGAATGCAAATTATAATCTTCCCCCTTCTACTGCAGGTGGACATAATGGCATCTCTGGGGGTCTACAGAAAGGATCCATAATTAGACGCTTGTCACAATATGGGCACTTGAACAACACAGTCACCTTTTGAGAAATAATGAGGACTCATGAAGAGTTCCATTATTCTAAATCCCTCTGAATAGAAGAGCTTTCTGGTGTGAACGGAGATGCTGAAAATTTAACAACACAACATTAAGACCTTAACTTGAAAACTTCAGAAGTACGAGAAAGCTGGGCAGTATTTTAGAGAACACTTTGGAGGAACAGGAGCTATGAGACACGTAGGCAGTCTGCCTGGGCTTGAAAGGTGTCCCCTGTCACCATGACCATTTGCTCTGCCTCCAGACAAACACCCCAAGCCTGCCACCTCCCAACCATGCCACTTCCAGAGGTGATGCTATGCAGTAAAGGCTATCCTCTACTAGAGAAATAAAGAGATGATGAAGAGTGTAAGAGACCTAGCAACAGCCCTTGGCTTAGCACAACCTGACTGTGGGGAGGCAGCAGCTTACTCGGAGGAAACCACCTGCGGTACAGGTTAGCTCAGCAGCCGGCTTCAAGCCCTGGAAGAGCTTATCACATATTCCCCACCTGCAGAGATGTCTCAAGCACACAAAGCGTGGGGCTGCTGTCCCTCATATCCCAACTGGCATCCCTTGGGGCTGCCAGCCCTACCTGCATCTGCCTGCCTTCCTAGAGTACTGTCAGCCTCACCTGCCAAAAGCAAACCCCCTTGTTTTGTTCCAAGTACAGGAAACTAGATCCCTAGATCATATCATTTGCCATTTTTTAAGCACAGGCAGCAAAAATGGCCTTCCTCTCACTCCCTTCAGCTTTTGCAGCATTCGAGGATTTCAGAAAATCACAGAATCATTAAGGTTGGAA